TTATCCCCGTTCTTTCGACCCTTCTTCGGTGTGCCGAGCTTTCTTTTCTCATCGTTCCTACTTCCTCTTTCCCCGCGGTATACGGTAAGTATATGTACGTCGGTGGAAAACTTTGCTATCTCGCTGGCGATACAAAACGCGATCCCAAGCACCTCTTCCCTCATACGCGACCTCATCCCCTCGGCGTCTCTTACTCTGCCCGCATCGCCACCTTTTTATCATCCAGACCTACTTCTGTCGTTTCCTCATTCCTCCGACCTCATCTCGATTTCCTGCGCGGCTTCGCCGCGAATCCAAAACAGCTCTCTATCTACAGCCGCGTAATAGTCAGCTCCTCGCCAGGCACATAGCGTGGCCTACTTGGGAATTCATACGAAGAAACTATGCGTATGAATTCGTATTAGATGAAGAAGTTTTGGGTTGTGCGGTCTTTCGCGGAAATTTCTTAACGACTGCTTGAAATTGTTACGATGCCAATGATTATACGAACCCGAGAATTCTCTTCTCTGCGTTCATAAGAGCAGCTGTCAAAAAATATAAAAAATGAAAGACTGTGAACATAACTATTGATATTGTATAAATAATATAATAGCGATATTAGTTCCTTTGCATAGAAATCAGTATCAGGTGCTATGAGCTGTTACAAAACGTGACATATTTGCAAATATACATGATATCATATATCATGGTCAATTTTCATATTTTAATATTACATCCTTTTAAATAATAAAATATTCTTGTTGCAGCTATTTTACAACGTATGCCCATTATTCGCATCGTGTCATATATAATTTAAATTAATGCCCAATTATTTTATGTATAATATTAACTGAGCAAAATTATATTTCATTAATTTGAATACGCTCTGACGTGTTGTTTTCGGCTCTATTTCTTGAAATATCTGTCAAATTTACTCTTTAGGATTCAGACACTCGAAGCTCAAAGCTCAGTTTGTTGTCCGCAAGTTATTTTCTGAATACAATTTCAAACTGCAGTAAAGTTGTCCTTTACCGCGTATGCGACCCCAGGCGAAGCACGCGTCATATATCGCCATAAAGAGCGCGCCGGATACATATTTCCTGCGGCACTCGTATTTTATTCCGCGACGTGCATTACCGCTCTTTAAATATCACAGACAATTTCATGCCCGACAAGCGTCCTAACGATGCCCAGTTACGCTTCAATGCACGCGCTTCCAACTCGAAACGCCATAGAAATTCTCATGAAAAAGCGCACCGACCCAAGAATCGATGCTTACAGGATTCTCCAGAGATTTTTTTTCAACCCACGCAACCCTCTCTCACGACGGAACATGGACAATATTTCCCGGAACATTCGTGCTCATTCGCGCGCTACCTATGATCGCTCTC